TATAAAACAGTAAGCAATTAACTTTGTATATTATAGTAAATCGATTATTGCAATGAACGACTTTAGTTAAGAAAATAAAATTGATAATTACAGACATCAAGTACATAAAATCGATCATATAAAACATATTTAGCAAAAAGATTATTCAAAATCGGTTCAAACAAATTGTAAATATGATTGCAAAAAATTAGTTAATGAAAAAGTTATTGCAAATATGATTGCACAAAATCAATTACACGAAATCAATTAAAGGAAAAGAAAGTTATTGATCGATTGGCGAAGAATCACTAATGGTCATGCTCTCTCGTGATGGTTTGGAGAAGGAGAAATGGAAAAATGGACCAGAGTGTGAAATCGAAATGCATTGCAGAAGGATAAGTGTTATCTTTATATGCAATATCTCTCACAAGTCACACGCTCACCAATTACTAAGAGGCATAGGACGTTTCAATTATTTGTCTTGTGAATTGAAAGCTACTAATATCTATTAATGAAAATTAAAAACCGATTTCGATATATATATATATATATATATATATATATATATATATATATATATATATATATATATATATATATATATATATATATATATATATATATATATATATATTCGAAATCGGTTTTTAATTTTCATTAATAGCTATTAGTAGCTTTCAATTCACAAGATAAATAATTGAAACATACGGAATATACATTACAGTCCCACCTAAGCTTAGGTACTAAACCTCTAAAATATGCCGTTTTAACATGCTAAATATGCTCGGTTTGGTTTCAATTGGTAATATATCATCCTCCATAACATTTCTTTCTTTCATTAGTGTTTTACAATCTCTGTTTTCTTTCCTCAATTATCGTTTATTACTTCACCCAAGTGAACATTACTAAACCTTAAACCTAAACCCTAAACCGTAAATTTAAACCCTAAACCCTAAACCTAAACCCTAAACCCTAAATCTAAACACTAAACCCTAAACCTTAAACCCTAAACCCTAACCCTAAACCCTAAACTTAAACCCTAAACCCTAAATCTAAACCCTAAACCCTAAACCTAAACCCTAAACCCTAAACCCTAAACCCTAAACCTAAACTCTAAACCCTAAACCCTAAACCCTAAACCTAAACCCTAAACCCTAAACCCTATTAAGTCGATCTTGAATTTACATCTTGAAGTATTAACCGTGAATCCATTAACCGCAATCTTTATATAGTAAAGCAATATATTTTAAAGAGGTTTAGTACCTAAGCTTAGGTGGGGCTGTAATGTATATTCCCTTTTCCCTATATATATATATATATATATATATATATATATATATATATATATATATATATATATATATATATATATATATATATATATATATCGGGTTTTAAATGGGGCGGATAGTATTATGCCCGCCCCCGCCCCATACCCGCTTCGGGTAAGATATTTTATTCTCATCCCCGATTTGTTATCCGTTAAGGCGGGGAATCCTCGATCCGTTCGGGTCGGGTCCCCATAGGTCGCGGGTAATCCTCGCTCCGTTTGCATCCCTATTCCTTTTGCAGCTTAATTTCAAACAACCACAACTTTTTCATTTCAACTCCTTTTTCGATGATCTTTATATCCACGAAAAGGTAGCGACGAGCTCTACAATTATATATAGCTACTTATGACTAAAAGCATCTTGAAATAAGATCCTTAATTTATGCAAGAATCCCGAAACATTACCTTTCCCATTTTACCCCTCAGCTTCCAACGAATAATCCAAGGTTTAAATCACTTATCCAACACTATCAACATTGAATAGAGTCTAAAATCCCTTTCCTTGAAACCTAAGGCCTTTACATGGTCGAATACAGCCCATAAATCCTGAATTAAGAAACATCCTGAAACATGATGTTACATGCAAAGAATCCTGTGTATCACGAGAAGACAAAACACATTGATTTCAAGCTGAATTTCATTCGGGATATTCTAGAAGAAGATAAGTTTTCAATACTGAAGATTAATACCAAGGTGAACCCATCATATATGTTAACAAAGTCGTTGCCATGGAGAAATTCAAGCTTTGAATGGACTTGGTTGATGTTTGCAGGAGGTAGGTCCCTTCGCGGATGAATGTCAGGAAGGGAGAGGAAATTCTTGTTTAAGGTGGAGTTCAGATGATGCTCAAGTCAAGGTGGGGATTGTTAAATGTGACTTGATCATTTGGAGTATTCTTATGGAGCATTTGAGTTCAATGGAGCAATTAGAACTCAATGGAACACTAGAGGTTCATGGAGCATGTGACAAAGGAACAAATTAATAGAGAAATGAATGGATCATTAGCAAAAAGAACGAATCAAGTGGCAATGGAACGAATCTTGCAAAATTGGGGTAAGGAGCAACTTGGAGCAACATGGAGCAACATATTATGCCACCATAGTGGAAGTTGCTCCATCTAGGAACATGTTGCACCAAATAGATTGAAGTTGCGCTAAGAGGATGGATGTTGTGCCATCCATAAGGGTTTTGCAATAATTAAAAGGATCTTGCACCATTCTTGATTGATGTTGCACCAAAGTGAAGACCTGTACCACATTGGAAGGATGTTGTGCCAAGTGAAGAAGTTGTGCCATCCTCCGGAGCATGTTACGCCAAATGGGAAGTTGTTGCGCCATCCTTGCGTGAAGATGGGCCATCTTGGTTTCTTGATGAGCCATGATATCCCCGATGAGTCACAAAGTCCTCTATGATGCTTAGAAGTTGGCGATACTCAAAGAATACACCATGTTGTGCCACCATGATGGATGCTGGGCCACTAGTGTTCATGATGTGTCATATGTGCATCATGATGCTCCATTATGGCACAATGTGCTCCATCATGTACGTTACTGATACTCATGTGTTGTATGTTATGGATGAATGTTCCAGAAGCTACTGCATTGCGAAATGTGACATCATTTATGGGCCTATGGGTTAATGGGCTTGACCAATTAGGGTTTTAGGTTTGATCCCTTAAGTATAATAGGGATGTATGCTAAGTCATTTGATGTGTCTTAAAATTCTAGAGTGTTAGGCGAAAATCTATGAATTTATACTTGTAACCTCTGCTTGAGAACTCTAAAATAAAGAATATTCCTCTCCTGCCCGTGCATGTAGGTCACTTTACCAAACCATGTAAATACTGTGTCTTGTGTGCTTTTGATTTTGCTAGTTATCCACTTTGATTCTTAACATGTACTTTATGTTTTAAAAATGGTGTTTCGTGTTTATGCAAGATCGTTCAAGGGGTCAAATCTTATTTAGGAACTCTCTAAATCCTTGTATGAGCTTATAAAGAAGTGTGAAGTAAAAATGTTATTTTCTAATAGATTAAATGAATTTGATAAATCCATATGAAATTTGGTTTTAAAGTATACGGATAAAAAAATAGTTTCATGATTTTTTTAATCATACCCATATCGTCGGGACAAATATAACCGTTTCAAATATCTTTAAAAAGTCTGAATTAAATGTGCCATTTTAGTTAGGATCTATCTAGGAAATTGGATATTATATAATTTGGATATTTATTGTAAAGGACCCCATTGAGCGGCCAAAAAGATACCTATTTTTTTTATTATATAGTAAAATAAACTAAAACAATAAAATTAAAAATTACATAATTCCATGCCTTGTTAGGATTAGAGGTGCTTATAAATTGGATATTATTCGATCCCGACTTTATATTAAATTAAAACTTGGAGATGTCAGATTTAGATATGATCATAACTGGTTGTGAATGTAGGATCCTTTGTATCCGGTCTTGGATAGGTTTGAAACCAGTTTGAATATGACCAAAAAATCCTATTTTTCGCCACTTTTCGACACATGATTTCAAGTTTAATAAAAAATTCGTTGTTGATATTAGAAAGGGGTAATAATGTGTTTTTCAGCAATTTGGGATGGTTTATAACTTTATATGATAAAAAAACATTTTTGTTTTAAAAGAATGTTTTGTCTTCGTGTAAGATCGCTCAAAGGGTCAAAATCTTATTTAGTAACCCTCTAAATCCTTATATGAACTATGTAAAGAAATGTCATATAAAAATAATATTTTCTTATAGATTAAATGAATTTCATAAATCCAGATGAAATTTGGTTTTATAGTATCCAGATAAAAATATAGTTTCATGGTTTTTTAATCGTACCCATATCCACCAGGTTGGATATAACCGCTTCGTATACCTTTAAAAAGTCTGGATTGAATGTGGCATCCTAGTTAGGATCTATATCAATTAGGGATGAGCAAATGGACCGGGGAACCGGCCGGAACCGGAACCGGAACCGGCACCGGAACCGGAACCCGATGGAACCGGTCGGGCAGGGACCGGGACGTTATTTTTGTAGATTTTTGGAACCGGGAACCGGTAGGAACCGGAACCGATATAACCGAAACCGGTAGAACCGGCAAAAACCGGAACCGTATGATGCTATTTTTCAAGTACTGGTTCCAACATTTGAAGACACGACAAGAACCGGTAGGAACCGGGAACCGGTAGAACCGGACCGATAGAACCGTCAGGCCGGTTCGGTTCTTGATTTTGGCCGAAGCCGGTTCGGTTCTTGATTTTGGCCGAAGCCGGTTCCCGGTTCCGGTCCGGTTCGGACCGGTTCCGGCCGGTTCAGTCCTTTTGCTCATCTGCTCATCCCTAATATCAATCAAACCTAGATCAGTCCGTATTTTGAAACCCCAAACTCAATTGTAAGTTTTGCATGATTAGGTCAACCTCACAAGTGGTCAAACCGGCTTTTCAAAGAATGTCATCAGGTCTTGTAAATTAAAGTCTTAGATAACTAAAATAACCTATCGATTCGATCTTCACCTAACCTTTCATTATACTAATACATACTTCAGTTTGATTAGAATAAGTCAACTAGACAAATTTCCGGAAGCCAAGTCAACAAACATTTCATATAGAACAAAACAAAGTCAACAACTCCATCTTTATCTACCAAATCAGCAACACCCCAACAAGCGATTCAATCTTAACTTATTAAAAAAGTCCCCTCATTTATCCTCTCAAATTTTCACAAGTATGGTGTCATTTCTCAAATTTTTTTATGGAGAAAAAAGCCATCGCCCAAGTCTTCAACTAACACCATTTGAATAATGCATGAATGAAAACTTCAAAGAAACTTAGAACAATAAACAATTTGGGATGGTTTCATACTTCCCCCTCCCATATCTTTCTATAAATATATGGTTTTACTTGGCCAAATCTCATAACCAATTATAAGTACTTTCTTGGAAAATAACTAGTTTTCTCAAGAAAGGGTGATGACTAAGGTGGCGACTATGAGAAGAACACTAATGGGGTTTGTTGCTATTGCAATGCTCTTGGAGTTGGCGATGGCGGTGGATCACACTGTTGGAGCTCCGAGTGGAGGGTGGGACGTGTCTACTAATTTGGAAACGTGGGCTTCATCCCAAACGTTTGTAGTAGGAGACAATTTAGGTAACAAATTCAAGTCTATATAACATCATTTACCTTTAGTGTGTGTTTATGTATGTGTGTGTTTTCTTTTGACTTGATAGAAATTTAAGCTTGTAAGCTATACATGAAAGTTTCTTTTTGATTTATAACAAAAGAAAAAAAAAACATCTAATAGAAAAAGTCCGAGACATGAGGCTTTCCCATAAATTTTTTTGACTTTTTAATAGACATGACTCATCTATCTTTCGGTTTCATTTTCCCATATAAGCTTATCATTTTGTGAAATATTTTTAATTAGAAAATAAAAAAGAAACGATGCTTTATATGTTTTTATGGCGTTTTTTTACATAACCAGACTCATGGGACATGAGATATGGTACATGCATACACTCATATAGGTAGGCCGTAGTAGGCTAACCCCCGGGGCTGATTCAAGCCGCTTTAAGATTCAAAAAAAAAATAAAAAAATAAGGCTTTTTTTTGTCTTTATCTATAACGATTTAATACCAAAAGTTTTTTATTTCTAAAATAATATAAGTAGATACATAAAAATAAGCCCCGAAAATTTGGAGGCCCTAGGCCATCGCCCATGCTGTTCTACACCCTCTGATACGACTTGTTAGTCCCGTATTACCATTCTAATGGTGGTATTTAACTGTTACAGTTTTCCAGTATGGACCTTCTCATGATGTGCTTGAAGTGTCTAAGGATGACTATGATTCTTGTTCATCGTCAAGTCCTATTTCCACCGCCATTACTAGCCCTACCACAATCCCACTTACAACCACCACAAGCCGCTACTTTATCTGTGGTAGAAGTAATCATTGTAGCCAAGGAATGAAGGTTGAGGTCACAACGGTGGCAGGAGCGCCAACACCACCACAAACCACCCCTCCTTCCACCCCAACCACACCATCAAATGCTCCTTCGAGCGATTCATCACCACCACCACCTGTCACTGGTGGGACCATAAACCCTCCCACTCCCTCATTGGCCATGACACTAAAGATGACTGTTGGTTCTTTACTTGGATTTGGATTCTTCGTGATGATGTTACTATCCCTCTAAGTCTTTCTAGAAAATGCATTTGAGACTATTTGGTTGTGTTTTGTTCATTTTATAGTTTTGTCTATTATAGATCTTGTTGCTTTGTTTGATCTATTATAGAAATATACTTACATTTATTTGTGTATTATAGCATTTTATTTTTATTTTCTTTCTATTATAACATTGTATTTTCATTTAATTTTCATGTTAGACATTCGATGATATTACTATCCCTCTTAAAAATTTTCTACAAAATGCATTTTATTGTTTGTGTTATAGGTTGTTTTTTTTTTTTTTTTTTTTTTTTTTTTTTTTTTTTTACTATGCTAGATTGTCTTTTTGTTGTTTGACCTATCATAGCAATGCACATATATTTATTTGTGCATTATTCGTATGTTCATTTCATTATATTGTAACTTTTTTTTTCTTGTCAAGTTATTGTACTTGGAAAATCACACTCTAATATACATTGACCTAAATTTTTTTTTATTAAAACATTATATTTTAAAAAAATAGATATAGCAATGAAATTGCTTTGGATGACAACACAACCTACAATACCATAATAGGAAAAAATGAAAGTAAAAAGCTATAATATACAAATCAATAAAAAGAGGTTGCTATATTACATTTAACCGTTTTTATTATATAACAATATATGTTTTGCTTGTCAAAGATTATGTTACAATCCCTCTATGCATTTCTAGAAAACACATTCGACCATTGTTCTTTGTGTTGATTCTATACTTTTTTGTACAAAAGATATCGTTGTCATTGTTTAATCTACCATTTGTAATTGGGCTAAATCAAAAAACGTTCTTCCATCTACTTTGTATTATTATAACATCTTAATTTCAATACTTTCTATACGACATTGGAGTTTTAATTTATTTTTATTTTTTTGTAATATGACATACATTGTCTTTAAAAAAATTTCTACCAACCTATAGCATCGTACTTCTATTTTATTTTTCCTAATTAGGACAATATTTTTTTTAAAAATCTACCCAATTATAACAATGAAAATTGCTTTGTATTTTGATTTTGATAATCAATATATTTGGTTAGCTCTCTATGTACACTGTTGTGATTTATAAAACGAAAAAAGAATATATGCTACAAAAAACAAATAAATTTAAATACATTGATGTTTCTTACATCTAACCATTTCTAATATAACCAACCAATGACGATTCTTCTGCCAAATTTTATATTCTCTAAAACAATAAAATAATATATATATATATATATATATATATATATATATATATATATATATATATATTCGTATTCCATAGTCACAGTTATGATTTTATTTCCCAAATCAAACAGTAATTTAGATATATATTACAAATTTTCAAACCACACAAAAATTCAAGAACAATAACAAAGTGTATGATCATCATCATCATCATCATTTTATAATACATAATCAAGATGGAAGAAAACAAACAAACCATAAAGGTCAAATGAATTACGCAACTGGAGGTCGAAGGACGTGATCCTGTGAGGTGTCGACCACCGAAGATGGCATGAACTGCCACATGCCGACACTAGGGTAACCGACAAACGGCATCAATTTGTTTCCGGAAGCTTGTCCTTGGGCGGCAAATGCCGCCCGCATGGCGGTGTGATGTGTCAGATAGCCGCCAGGTTGACCGCTCATGGATTTGACTCGTTGTTCGAGCTTCTCTTTATCCGCTTTTAGCCTCTGCTTTTCATCACGGAGTTCGTTCTTCTCAGCCTAATTAATCATTTTAAAACAAATTCAAAATAAGTCATTTAAGAATCACAAGTAAGAATCAGTTATACTGTGTTTGGAGTGAATTGGACTTGGACAGACGTCGATGAGACAATTTTTTGTCCTATCCAAAAAGATGGAACAAGGTGGGACATGGACTCGCTCTCGGTCTCTCGTCTGTGCAAAAAGACATAAACGCCCTCCTCATCCTCATCCTTAAAAATAGCCCTAGAAAGCTTGTCCCGTGTATCAAACACAACACAGGCTATGCCTGTGTTTGTTCCATTGGACTGGATAAGTTTTCTAGGGATATTTTCAATGATGATGATTAAAAGGGTGTTTACGTCTTTTTGCACAGACAAGAGATCGAGAGCAAGTCCACGTCCCATCTTGTTCCATCTTTTTGAATGGGACAAAAAATTGTCTCATCAACATCTGTCCCAGTCCAATACAGACGAAACACCAAACATAGCGCAACCTATTTTGTCTTATTCCTAAGGAAACAATACTTATAATTAATAAAGCACCTAAATAAGGGACCCACCTTTAATTCCTTAATTTTTTCCTGCAAATCAACATTTGACTCATTAAGCCTCTCCATTTCATTTCGAAGCTGTGTTATCATTCGAATAGCATCGTTCAAGAGTGCAGTCTTATCCGTTTTCGGTGGCCTTCCAGGCTCAAGAATCGAACCCAATTCCAAGAACCTTTTTTCAAATGATTTTTAGATTATAATATTACAAAATTCAAAATTATAACATGAAATTATAATATTTCAAATGATTTTTAAATTATACCTCTCATTCATCCTATCTCTACGCAATTTCTCACGTCCTGCTTTCGACCCATAAACATTGCTGCAAGATTCAGACTTTAACCTGGATAAAACGTTGTATGGATAAATGATGTTTAAAAAATATTTGAAAAAATGAACCTAATTTGGAAGAAAATAAATGAGGGCAAATTTGTAAAAAGTTGGAAGTTATGTGTTGAGTTGTTTTTTTTTTTCTACGTTAAGTAAAAAGGAATATATACCGTTTGCGTGATGCTGTTCCTTTAAAGCCTTCAAAATCGATAAATGAGCTTTCAATCTCAACACTGTAGAAACAACCAATAGCAATCAATTTATGAATTTCAAACTCAATAATAATTGAAATCCAATTTCGTTTTCATCGATTTACAAATCCTCTATCTTTTACTTTAATTTAGTCAGGTATGTTATATTCGAGTTTTCTTTTGATTTAAAACAGAAAGATTGACTTGACAATTTCCACAACCTTTTTTGAAACATCATTCATAAATTTCAACTTTTTATATGAATTTGTGAAGTAAATTGCAAGAAAATTTCGTTATCATGTTAAGTTATGTTGATGATAGAAACTTCAGTCGAGCAAAAGGACCAGATTGTGACACCTGATGAACAAAAGAACCATCACAGGATTCAATTCTCCTTTTTTCAAAGTGATGTCTAAATCATATTATGTCTTTTAGTAAAAAAAATTTCAAAAATGTTTAGAATTTTTGCTAAAAATAACATCTACCTTGATTCATACACTCTAATTTGACCCTAATTCGTGTAACAACTAGTGTGAAATCATGAAATATTTACTCAAAAAACACACACACACACACACGACTAACCTTACAGCAGGTACTGATGCTGAGCAGGTGATGGCCGTCGAAGGCCAGGTAAAACCAACGGCGGACGGTGGCGGAGCGGTGAAGTCAGCGGCGGAGATATCATCCATCAATCCATAATCGAAAAGCCAGTTAGGGTTTTCCTCAACTTGATCAATTTCCATGGTATGAGGAATCGATTGGTAATGTGATTTGGGAACGAATCAAAATGAAAGAAAAGGGGATGGAAATTATTGATTGGATAGGGGAATATGTTGATGATGGATGAACAGTAGAACAACGCAATTTTGTCATTATCAAAGTAAACGGTTTGTATGTGACGTATTGTGATAGCTGCTCGTAGCAGGAGAAACGAGGGAGACATGTCCTTTTAAAAATGGTTGTTTGAGAGTATGCCAATTAGCTCATTAGCTGCGTCATTGCTACAAACGTAAAGATATCACCATAAAATATAGGACATGTCTCAAATTGTTTGAGAGTATGCCAATAAAATATAGGACAAATGCCAAGAAAACCCTTGGATAGGTATTGACTAATTCTCCTATCATCTACCACGAATTTATGCATTTGTAACAAGAATCTAAGACAGTGCAACAATACACTGTTTAATTCCTAAAAAACACGATTTACAAAACATCATGTTGATGTTGAAGCAAGAAAGAAAGATAGATATTAGATATACGTGGGGTTTGAAAACTTCAATTTGCGAGTTCATTAACCTGTCCGGATTTACTACTTTTCATCAAGTAGGTGAAGTGATAAAGGATCGGGAGTAGAACTAAAGTGTCAAGAGTGGAGGAGAGTTCGAAACGTAACCCTGCTTGTTCTAATTGCACGGAAGGTGGTTATATCCGTCCAAACTGTCCGGAGATGAAAATAGGGTTCAAACACGAAAAACACGAACGGGTCGAGACCTCTGTAGAGGATAAAAAGAACGATAGTGGCAAAGTGAAAGGCGTGCGTGTTTTAGATGACGACGGATGAAGCGAAAGAGAAACCTGTTGTGGTGTTAGATACATCTACCTTGAACTCATTCTTGATACATGTATTATTTGATTCGGGTGCAACATTTTCTTTTGTGTTAGTTTCACTTGCTACTCAACTAGCTACGAATCTAACCCCGATGAGCCAATGTATTGCTGTAGAATTAGCCAATCAGAATCATGTGTTAATCAGAGAGCATTTTCGTGAGTGTCGGTTAGAGATCAATGAGACCTTTCTCTTATCGATTTAAAATTGATTCCTACCAGAGAGTTTGATGTGATAGTAGGCATAGATTGATTGACAGCTAGTAAAACACAAATAATTTGTAGCTCGACGTAATTAAAGCACCAGATGAATATCAGATTACCGTACGAAGTGAACAATGTCAAGAAAGAATTTCGGTGATCTCTTTCGAAAAAGCTTGAA